AAAAAAAAAAAAAAGAAAAAACGATAAGTCACTGTCACTCGCATATAAACCGACTGCGGAGGATTAGCCGCTTGTTACGTAATGTTCATCGTAACTATAATAATTGTACGCAGGAAAACGGTGGCTATCGGGAGAAAGAGAAGGGAAAGATAAACGGCGACAAGAAGGAGAGACAGCAGCACAGCGAGAGCGATAACAGTTGGAGCAGCGTCGATGAAGAGATCGAGCCGAAGGAAATGGCCGACAAGAGTATAGAAGAGGATAATTTCGAGGAGAAGATCGAGGAGGAAGCGAACGCAGAAAAGTGCAAGCAATTGAGGCGGAAATCGAAAACGATTCGCAAATCGGACGTACCTCAGAATTACAAAGAGGCTGCGCAACGAAGGCCCCTTCTTACCTCGTCGTCTTAAATTCGGTTCAATCGATTGTACCTTTCTCACTGTTTCTGATTTATTATCGTTTCCCCCTCTCCCGCTCACGGAATGTAATTTAATGACCGACACGATCATTTTTCAACTTCTGGCTCACTCACAATCAGTGAAGCAAGATCGTTGTATGAATTTTTTTATCGAGCGCCGAAGACCCTCTTTCTGCAAGTCCCGGGAAGGGAGTGTTATTTTTTTAAAATAAAACGTCGATCGTCCGCGTACCACTTGGGAAAAGTCGCGGAAAGGAAAGCTAGTCGTATGCTCGATATCATTCGCAATGTATCGATATATCCTGAAATTATATTTTTATACTTCTGCCCCACCCCCGACAAACCGCGAGAGAAACGTTGACGAGGAGATCGTGGATTTTTCGCTGTAATTGCAGTCAGATTCTCTATGCACCACCATACACGTTAATTTTCTCGACGAAAAAAGAACTCGTTCGACCCGTGTGAAGCCCGAAGGAGGGACAAATTGTTTCGTCCTCGTACGAGCGTCGCGCGACTCTCAAAGAAAGTTTACGCGCGTGAGGAAGCTCGTTGTAATAATTTTCTTTGTCACCTCGCGACAAAAGTTTCGTAGTGGATCTCTCGGCGATCGCTGGCTCGCCTGTAGGAGAAAACTTTGGCGACAAATGACCGTGACACCCGAGAAAGTTCTCGCCACGATAAGAAAAAACTCGATTAAATCGACGAAAGATTCCGAGAAACGATCCAACCGATTTCGGGATCGTTGGCTTGTTTCGACGAACAACAGTGTCTAGTGTTAGGGCAATAATTTTTTCCCACCGTTTTTGCTGATGTTCCTAATTCACGGATTCGTGAAAAACAGAAGCGTATTTAATATACGATGACAGTTGTATATTTAACTGTTTGAGGTTTAAATGATTTGACGAGACGAATAGATGATATATTTATCTATGGATAACAATTTCATTTCGTTTCATCAGGAATATTTGCACGCGCTCAGAAGTTTGGAGCGTAGAGTTTCAAAAAAAAAAAAAAGAAATAACGAATGTTTTATTTGCGATATTTTAAAGCATTGAAATTAAAATTTTGTAATTTTAAACGATATACTCTTCTTGTTTGCTTTTCTAATTTACAAAAAAAGAAAAAGAACTTGCTCCAAACTTGTGGACAACAGTATATGTATATATTTAATCTTGTTGTTAAATATAAATATTTCTGATAGAAAGGAGTGAAAGTATATTACTAAAAGTATTAAAAGGTATTCAGATGTGACTCAGTAATTTCTAACTTTAAAGAAATTAAAGAAATTACCATTTTGTTAATTTTCCAACTCGTACAATTGAAAGAATTCTTTGCGAAGAGTCTGGACATTATAATTTGTACAAACGACACGAACACATGATTTGAAATCGATCGATTTTCAACCTTACATCTACTTTTATAATTTTCACTACACCGGTGTTCAATTCGTACCAGTTAACAACCATATTAACATTAAGTGCATTTCAAACGATCGGACGCAATGTTCGAGTTTCTATGTTCTGACAAATCGAAGAGAGTATATTTTAAGAATGAAAGAAAAAAAAAATCTTATTAAAAAAAAAAAAATTCGATGATGCAGAACGTCACTTGAAACGCGAAGGAGAGAGAATACGGAATGTTCGAACTTTAGGAATCGTGCATGGGAGTCTTATCAAAAAGATTCAATCATCGAATTGCGTGAATCAATTAACGAGTTGACGCGAGTTTATTGATAGTAAACGTTGATACGATCACGTGGACGAGTAATGATACACATGAAATAAAAAGTGACGAAACAAACACCTTTTACTAGCAAGTTTGTACAATCGTGGCCAACCGCTGTGTCTGAACATACGGTGGATTTACTCGCGATTAGGTGTAGCAACAGTCACCTAAAAGTTAACCGATATTAATGTTGCTGGTTATTGGAATTGATGTTTCGAATTTTGTAGACGACGAGCGAACGATGCGAGGGTGGATGAGAGCGTGCACGAGTGCGTGGATGATGCGTGTACAGTATCGAATTCAAACGTTCTAATTTTTAAGAATCGTTGAAACGGAAGAGATAATTATTTATTGTTTTTTAAGCTGTGCAAGCGAACGTTAAGGAAAACGTTGGAAGGGAAAGATGTTCGATTGACAATTAATTTGCAACATATCGATGAAATTTCCTTCGGTCGTTTCTATTCAGATATTTTTTCCACTAACTGTTTCACGAGGAAAATCTGACAACATTGCGAGAGACGGGCGAAATTACTTCCGAGAATCTTCGTGACAAGGAATCTATTTATACTAAATTTTCTCGATTTGAAGAATCGTGATGAATGCACCGTCATGTTCGTCGTTTACGTAACGAGCCGAACGGAATGCATTTATGTTGCTTTCGAATTTGTCAATTAGAACATAACGGAGCTGGAAACTCGTCGTTTGTTGATCTTGTTGATAGAGCACAAGTATTTTATCATTCCGGCGCGAAGAACTTTGTCGGGTACCGCGTGTTGACATTAATGTTAATGGTATTCAGATATCGCGATCTAAATGATGTTTGAATGTACGTCGTTAGTGCAAAATAAAATCGAAAAACGTTCTGAAAAATATCACCCCTATGTATAATTGTTTCTCCTTCAGATTCCATCGAAAATTAAAATAAATCGAAAGATGATATAAGTAGAAATAAAATGATTCAAACTATAAAGCACCGCACATCCTGTAATCTTCCGCTTTTAAATTTCCTCTGAATGCGCAAAAACCTGCAATCTAATCATTAGTAATTCCCCTCTAGAAGCGATCGTACCAATTATCAATAACAATTATGTTCTTCTTCGTTGCTTCATTTCATGTTTTATCTCACTTCTTTATTTCATCTTTATCTGCTTGTTAAAGAAAAGGAAAAATCGATAGGATGGTTATTAGCAAATACTTCGATAACGACGGCACCGTTGTGCAAAATGTTCATCATTTAATAAGGCATTCAACGATATCATTAAACTGAAACATCTCCTGAATCATTATTACAACCAACGTTGCGAAACTTCGGTCAAGGAACTTGTAATAGATTTTAGCGAAAATTCCTCGCAAGATTGTTTCCGTTTCATGGCCGACGGCCACTCTCCCAAGGGTTAACTCTCGAAAACTCGTTTGTCCCCCGTGCGAACAAGTCGCAAAATTAATTTCAAACGGTAGGCATCTTCCAGCGAGAGCCATTACGAAATTATCTTCTCCCTACCGAAATAATCGTGTGTGGAGGAACTCGTGACGAAAATGATTGCTGTTAAATTTTTCGCAGATGATCTTCATTCAGATACCAGAAAGAGTTAAATTAAAGAGTATTCTCTAAGAGTATTCTTCCCTCCTAAATGAGAAATCGATCGTACCCTAAATGACGAATCTTTAATCAGATTTTCAGAAAGAATTCAGAAATAAACAGCAATTGAAAGGAAATGAGAAAGCGAGAATTTTCAACGCAACAGCCAAACCAGTGACGAACGTTTAAATTTTCGGGACGAAAATTTGTTCCGTTTTCGTCTGGCGGTCATCTTTCACGGTCGAGAAAGTCGAAGAAGGGATCTTTGTCACCGCGGGGATCCTCCCACACGGGAGAAAAAAGGCGACGAGCTTGCAGGCAAAAAACGTCACGCACGTGGTAGCACGTAGTTTCGAAACAAGGGCCTCCTTTTAGAAACCGGGGTCGCCTGAACTCGTAATCCTGTCCCCCATCGTCTGGAAGTTCAAATAAGGGGAACTAAATTTGATCGCATGAACAAGAAACAACAATCCCTTCTCTGCCATCTGTACGGATCGGCCGTCGCAGCAAACACGTTTCGAGATGTTTTCGTGGAGAGTTGAACCGACAGCCGACCGGCAATCCCGACCGGAGGAGCACTGCGTGTTAAACCGTATACCGGAGCGACACGCGCGTTCGATGCCTCGCGTGACAAGATCCGTACGTCGATCTACTTTTATGGATAAACTGTGAGAGTTGTCGCGTCTTCTTACGAGTGAGTAAATCGTCGAGAGAAAATGACGCGGTTCATTTGATTCTGATTTGGGAAGAGAAGGACAAGAGGTGCTCGGGAAAAGATACAACAAAGATCAAACAAGGTTTTTACGTAACGGAAGGTGACCCTCTGCCGTGAGTCACAGTTAAACAATATAATAACGTTTAACAATAGAGGAGATAATGATTGAACGAAGCTCGTGCTAGAGATTTGATTTGGGTTTGTGATCGCGCGTAATCGTCATCGGAATCTTTCTTCGGTAGATTCGCGGCGCACTTCTTCGAGTGTTAATTTCAATTTAGAATCACGCAATCATGCGCGTGATCCTAACGATTTTCACGTTATTACCGTGCTAAATCTTAAACGCGTGGCTACCTCGAACACGCGTCGCGGTCAACTATCTTCCTCATAAATATGAAGGAGCACCGTTAACGTTTGATACGCGGTTTTGCTTCTTCTTTCTTTCTTTCCTCTTTTTTTTTTTTTTGTTTTTTTCCTCTTCAACCGCGTTCTTGTCATTTATTTTCTGAATTTATCGAATTCTCAGGCTGTCTCGAAACGACACAAATGAATCATACCGTGTGACGATCGGTGAACGTGACGCTTGAAAAGTTCGTCGAATTAAGGAAAATATAACGAGCTGGCGAGGATGACGAGAAGAAACAGCTTGGCAGAAATAGAGGAGGAGACGCGAAAAGAACAAAGGTGAGATGACAATCTACATTATCAAATGTCGCAATAGGGAGCAATTTTTTTGTACGAAAGATATTACATAAAATAAGGCTTGGGTCGCTAAAAACGGAAACATTTTGTCTTGGACACTTCGGTGAGTGATTTAATCTGCAGTTTTATCAACGAACGTGACCGAGCAATGAAACGCGAAATAAATGAAATAGTTGGGCAAACGTGTCGTGCGATTTCGTTACTTTGTATGTAGCACTTGTTTTTGCTGAATCACATTGTACAATGCTTAGCGGTTCCTATAATAGCTACAAATTGTCGCAATTGCACGCCACTTCCCGATAGTCCACCCCGCTGGTTCTACGACCCAGATATATGTACAACTTCTCGAAGGGTGTTTAATTAAGTACTGTCGCGTTAGATGAATCTTCCTTTTTTTATACTTTCCTTTTCGTCGTACGTAGAAACGAACAGATGAAAAAATACAATGATGGAAATTCTATAGACATTGTTAGGTATAGACCAGCACAATCAAATATCCTTATTAAATTTTTTATAGTTCCCCAGATGGCAAATACTAGATCGTAAAATAATAATATGAAATTTTTAACGTGGCAATACGATGTGAACGTACATAAAATATTTTACGGCTGTCGCATGGTTCTCGTGGTTTAAAAATTAAACAACGAGGCCTATTTTCCAAGAATATTTCATCATTTCAGACTCGCTTTTCACAAATTTTCTTCTTGGCTAAAACAGCCAACTAGAATGACTTATGAACGTACGCGTGATAGATAACTATATCTCGTAACCATTAATCTCGTTCAAGTAGAATTCGCTCTTGCCTTCTGGACGTGACGAGTAAACGTTGCCAATAATTGCAAAGACATTTCGAATCGCAAACACAATTCGTTCACTTTGTTTGTCGGATTTTCAAAATCGCGGACGGTACGCGTGGCACGTGACACTGTCTGAGAGCAATTCTGCGCCAGCGATGCGAAACGCGCAAGCTCAGATTGATTTTCTCTCTGGTCAGCTGGTGCTGTTCATCTACGGACGATGCGGTTAATCTGTCGCACGATTTTCGGTGGACGAATTTCATTGATAATAAAACTGACATGGCCGAAGAGTCCGCGATAAAACGAGACAGAGGTTCGCCGTGTGTAGTCGAAAGTCGAATGTGAATGGTGATCAGAAATCGTCTGCCTCTGACAGTAAGTGTTGAATGGAGAACGTGTATCGCGAGTGGTGGTAGAGACTCATAACGCAATTTGTTCATCCGAGTCGTCCAAAGGTGGCGATAGTTGTTCGTTTGGCGTTATCAGAGATGTCTGATATCTCTGTTGATAACGAGCAACACCGTTGAAATGTTACATTTTATGATTCCTGTTTGTAGCACCGAAAAACCATGACCTCCTCACCCTCGTCCAGTACCAGTTCCGCGTACGCTAGTACTGACGATGTTCGTCAGTACTACAGCAACGATAAGCGAAATTTCTTCGATACGGATGACGTCGGGACAGCTCGACTATTACGCTCGTACTCACCTCATCGCGTCAAAGCGAGAGGATTTCTCGCGAGATTGCGAATCGACAAGTGAGTCACGTTTTGCGCAGGTTCCCGCGAGTTTGAACAACTTGGGGCTTGCGCGTCCAAGATTCGAATTTTTTTTATCGAATACGTGAGCTAGATATCGTGAGTAGTTTATGTAGAGCATGTAATACGTGTGTAGATTATTTTTTCTTTTATTTGTAATTTTTTGGTGTCAACCTGTTAACCGAATCATCCCTTAGTTAGAAACTTTCGTCACAGATTGAAAGCAACAGAGAATTGTAAAGCCGAGCAAATGTAAAAATGTAATTGGACAAAGAAAGCGTTAAAAAAAAAAAGAGGGAATCTATAAACTAAAGAAATTATCATGTCCGAAAAATTGAAAACCCTAACGACGAATTGATATGCCTTCTCTGGTTAACAGGTTAAGGCATATATGTACACGTAAGTGCATGTGCGGATTTCTAGCGGCAAATGCAATTGCACACAACCTTCGCAATGAATCTACTTTCACTTTGATGCTGATTCGTTTATAGCTATCATCGATCAAGATCTGTTCCACATGTTCATGCTAGAAATAATAAATGTGTCATACATTATTGCAAAATTGTAGCAAACAATTGTATGTAGAAAAATTGTTCACAAGAAAATTTCTCGAGAAAAATAATCCATTGATTAACAATTCCTCTGTTAAAAACTACATGTCATCGTTATTTTATGCTTCCAGCAACTAAAGTAGCATGAAAAGTTACCGAACGTTTTGCAATTTTGTATCACGAAAGCTTCCTACAAATCCAGTAAAATGTAATAAATAATGATCCCAACACATTTGTCATTAGAATAATTGAAGTTGACTTTAATTTTCGTAATCAGAAGTTCTAAATGCCCTCTTTAAATTGTGCCCTTTGTAAAATTGTTAACAGCTATCACGGAAAGATCTAAATAATGATTAATTTAAATCGGATGAAAAGCATTAGAAATTAGTAAAATTGAACAGTAATAAAATTAATGAAATTATTTATACGTACTGCACTGTAAGTATAAATTATCAAACGATTTAATTACGAAACTATTTTTACTACATATTTATTTATCACTTATTACATATTCGTTCTTTACACTTATTATTCTCGATTCATTTGGTGAATTTCCTACTTTCAGGTCCTATATCAATACAAAAAGTATTATAATAGCGGGCGTGATATTAGCCACAGTAATTCTTTCGATAATAGCGATCTGCAGTGTTTACGGGGCCAGTAGGGACGTTGAAATTCAAGAAAACGAAGAAATACCGCCCGATCCGGAAACACCATTACCTCCGTCATGGAGCAACCTGAAAACTTTCAAACGCGCTGCTGTTTGTGCGGATGGTGCACCATGTGCCGTCATTGGCAAGTATGTGGAATTATATCACGTTGCTGCACGAAGTATCGAAAGCATTAAACCACACTTTTTTTTAAAACATAATAGTTCCTTCAAAAGTGAAGGAATTTATCTG